AAGAGGATTGGAGCATTTGCTAAATTAGTCCTGTTCAGGGACAGAGGAAACATCCAGGGAGGGGCTCAGAGATCAGGAGGAACATGAGGGAGGTCAGAGACATATAGGGGTGAGGAGAGAGATGAAGAGAGGAAAAAAGAAGAGAGAAATACCCTTGAGCTTGAGACCAAAGAAGAAAGAGACAGGCAAGAGAGAAGCGAGAGTGACAGACAGGATCAAAAATGGGGAGGAAGGGGGAACTGCCAGGAGCGTCCTGAAGGTCTGCATCCTGACACAAGGACTATAATCCTAGTTCCACCTCCTCTTAGTTGTGGGACCTTGGGCAGGTCACCTGACCTCCCTTTGCCTCAGTTTGCTCATCTGTGAAGTGAGAATAATCACAGCATCGATCTGATAATAATAGCATCTTTCTGGTGGATTGTTTTGAGAATTGAAAGAGTTAGGACTGGCTTTCTCCAGTCCTGGCAAATAGTACCTGCTCAGTAAATTTTTCTTTTCTTTCCCTTCCAATGTATTGAGTTATAATTTATATACTATAAATTCCACCTATTTTAACCATACAATTTGATGAGTTTGGGCAATCACATACAGGGGTGGAAATACCACCATAGTCAAGATATAGAATATTTCTAGTACCTCAAAAAGGCCCCCATTTGTCCCTTTGCAGTGAATCTAATCCATTAATCGATTCCCCAGATCCTGCCAATCACTATTCGCTTTCTGCCACTATGGTTTTATCTTTTCTAGAATTTCATGTAAGTGGAATCATATCATATGGACTCTGCTTTGAGCTTGGTTTCTTCCACTCGTTATCGTGCTATCCCTCCACATTGTTATGTACACCAGGAGTCCATTCGTTTTTATTGCTGAGGAGTATTCCATTGTCTGGATGCACCAGTTTTTTTAGCCATTCACCTGTTAATGGACATTTGGATTGTTTCTAGTTTGAGGCCATTGTGAATAAAGTTGCTATGCATGGCACAAGTACAATTTCAGGAAAACTTTTAGGTTAAGATAAACATTTAGCATAATGTCTTCAAGGTAGACATTTGGACTGTTTCCATCCTTTGGGTTATTGTGAATAGTGCTGCTATGAACATGAGGGCACATGTTTTTGTTTGAGCACTTGTTTTCAGTTCTTCGGGGTATATACTTAGAAGTGGAATTGCTGGGTCATTATCTAATTCCAGAACTTTTTCATCACCACAAAGAGAAACCCCTTCACCCATTAAGCAGTCACTCCCCAGTTCCCCCCCCTCCCCCAGCCCCTGGCAAACTCTAATCTGCTTTCCATCTCTATGGATTTGCCTATTCTGGACTTTTCATATAAATGGATTCATATGATATATAGCCTTGCATGCCTTGTTTCTTCTGTGAATGTATTTAATACCACTGAGTTGCACACTTTAAAATTTAATAATGGTCAATTTCATGTGATGTGTATTTTACCATAAAAATAAATAAGCGTTTATTGGGCTCTTAGCACGGACCAGGCTTCAGGACCAAGTACTTAACATAATGATGTCATTAAATTCTCCTGAGGTAGGTCCTCTCAATGCCTCATGTTACAGATGGGGAAACTGAGGTTGGGAGAAACAAACTGCCCAAGGTCATAGGACCAGAAGTGGCTGAGCCAGGCTCAGAGAGCAAGTTTGTCTGACCTCACCAATTCAGTGTTTGATACACACACACACACACACACATTTTAACCCAGGGCGGAGCGATTGACAGGGACAGAAGAGCTTGATGACTTGGAGTTGGAGAAACAGAAAGACAAAGACTAAGGAAAAGAGAATAAGGGGAAAGAAAGAAAAAGACAAAAACCATCAAACAGAAAATGGGGACCTGGGAGTCTGAGACTCAATAGTCAGGAGGGGAAAAGAAAAAAAGGAAAGAGAAAAGAAGAGAGATGGAAGACAAATGGTGGGAAATCGAAAGTGACCAGGGAGAAGAGATGGAACGTGGCAAGGACGGAAGGGGAAAGGAGGAGGTGGGAGACGAAGCTGCAGAGGGCTAGAGGCTGATGAGGAGGGCTCAAACCTCACGTGGACCGGGACTTCCCTGGTGGCGCAGTGGTTAAGTATCTGCCTGCCAAGGCAGGGCACACGGGTTCGATCCCTGGTCCTGGAAGATCCCACATGCCACGGAACAACTAAGCCCATGAGCCGCAACTACAGAGCCCGCGTGCCGCAACTACTAAAGCCCGTGTGCCTAGAGCCTGTGCTCCGCGACAAGAGAAGCTACCTCAATGAGAAGCCTGTGCACCGCAACGAAGAGTAGACCCCGCTCGCCGCAACTAGAGAAAGCCCACATGCAGCAACAAGACCCAACGCAGCTATAAATAAATAAATAAATAAATAAATAAATAAATAAATAAACGTCACATGGATCCCTGAGGCAGGAAGCATGGTCATCACCCCCCCTTGCAGCGAGGGAGGGCCCCAGTGAGGTAACAGCAGGTGGAAGCTGGCCGTCTGGAGACCATCTCCCTGCCTAATTGGCTTTAGGGAGATATCACGGAAAAGACGGTGACCAGACAGAGAAAGCACATGGACGCACCCATGCCCCCGGAGAAAGAAGGTGGGGGAGAGAGGGAGGGGACAGAGCAATCCTTGTTTTTACTTCCTCAGGTCTGCACCTCCACGGAAATAAAAAGCAAATCACCCAGACTTTAAGCGGGATTCAACATTTTAATCATTTTCACTCCACAGGCGGCCAGCGAAGGGAGACCTGGAGTTCCAGTGAGTGGGAAAGGGGAGGACAGTGGGTCTGACACAGAGTGAGGGAGGCCCCTCGCCTCTTGCTCTGTCCCCAATTCCCTTGTCACTCTTCCTGGCTTTAGGAATCCCCAATGGACATCTGAAGAACCAATGTTCAGGAGGCTGGCCCAGGGAAAGGAACCTGGAATCTCCCAAAAGATTCGACTCGCCCCTCTGTCCAACTCCTAGAGAACTCTCAGAAGGCACCAGGACAGGGGTCTCTTGAAGTCTTGGCCTGTGACTGTGACTCCCCCATCCAGCCACTATTACTCTCCACCCCTGCAGAATATCGTGTCCATCCTCCAAGCCCTCCCCGGACCTCCTTACTGAGCTGCCTTTGAATTGCTTGCACAAGGCACACCCTCCTCTATGAATGGGGAACTCCGTGGGGCAAGGAGAGACTCTTGTTTACACCTGAGACCCCAGCCTCCAGCTCAGAGCGTGGGAGTCTCTGCAAAATGACTAACGGACGTGGCATCCCGGTCCCAACTTTTGCACAGATCCAGAGCACAAGGTCCTCTCCTACCTGTCTCTACCCTGAAAATTTTGCCTGGATCTCCCATCTCGTACCCCAACATATACCGTCCTTCTCTGTTTATTCATTGCTTCCCACAGTGGACTCTGGGCCTAATGTCCCAGCATGACTCAGACCCATGAGAGATGATTGAGAAATATGTTGAGTAAGCCACCTTTGTGGGCTCTAATGATTGCAGTGTGCCCTTCAGGGTCTAGGCTGTGTGGACCTCTCCTGACCTGGACCCGGAAAAATCATCCGATGCCTCTCCGCCTCTCTTTGCACTGTGCCTTCCTCCTGACATTCCTTGCTGCACTGGGGGCCTGCTTGTCCTGGCTCATGAGCACAGATTACAAGTGTCTCTTCCCACCTCCGAGTTCAGGGACCTCAGCTTGATGCCCTGAAATCAGCCACGGTGGGAGTATTTACACCATGGAAATGTGCAACCACTACAAATCAGGGCTTTCCTCTTCTTTCAGGAATCCATTGTTAAGCATCTCCCAGCACACCACCCCCTTACTTTCTTTCACCCCTTGCCTTGTGAAACGCACCCTCCGCAGTGAAAGGCTCGTGGTTCCCGCCTTCCCCACCCAAAAATGAAAGGAGAACTCAGATTGAGGAGGTAGGTGCCAAAGTACCAAACTTCCAAGAGTGTCAAAATGCCTGAATCCTTCAGATTCTCACACTGCATGTCTCTGCGGCCATGGGTCAGACTGCATTGAAAGAAATATGGTGCTGCCCCAGGAAAACTTCCCAGGCCAAGCTCTATTTATTGTCCAATCCCACAATCGAAACTGAAAACAGAACATCTAAAAGAGGGAATGTGTGTTTGGGATGTGGGGCTGCCTCCAAATCCATTTCTCACCCCCGCCTCTTGTATATTTACAGGTGGGAAGCCTGTCCACCTCTTTTTCTCTTTGAAATACCCACAACCGTAGTCGGTGCACCCCACACAACAACGACGGCGATTCCTCCAATGTGTGGGTGAAGCTCACCTTTAGAAAATGCAAAAACAAAAGAAAACAAAGCAGATGTGAAACAGGCAACTTGCCTTCCATTCTTCCACCAAGTATGCCCATTTCCAATGTCCAAATGAATGAATGATGAAATGTCTTTAAGAAGAAACTAAGAAGAAAAAAAGAAAAAAAATATATATATATATCAAACAGCCCCCTAAGCCTATCATGTAAACCTGACATTTGTGAAATCTGTAAAATTGTCAAATGAATTTCTGAACTTAACTGTATAATTGGCCTAAGGTTCCATCCCGGGGCTTTGTAAAGTCTGTCTTTGGAGTTTCTAGAAGGATCTCTACTCATATGCTAAAGAAGTGTCCCAAATGGAAAGTGAAGGAACCGAGTCTCCCTCCCTGTTTGTTCAAGGACACCGTGGTTCTGACCTAAACATTACCCCAAATCAGCTGCACGTTTGGTTTAATTTTGTCTCAGGGCGAATTCTCAGCACCAGTTTCTGGAGTCTGGGGCTCATGGTTTGAAATGCCGGTTGGACTCCATGTGAGATGGCATTGGGGTTGAGGGAATGACTAAGACTTCTGGGGCTCCCCGGGAGCAAAGGGGTGGACTGGGTTGGGCTAAGTTGCACTGGAGCCAAAGAGGCCATGACCTTTGCAAGGGATGGTCAGCTCCTGCCACCTTCTCAGGGATGCCACCCCAGGGCAGGTTGAGACAATGTGCAAGGAGGCAGTTGGGACAAGGGATGGAGAAGGGGTGTATTCTACAAGATCTGAAACTTCCAGGCACTCTGATCCTTGTAGTCCAGGGGATCCATGGGGTTGTAGGTGAATTTCCAGGTGCCTGTGGGGTCCTTGAATTCTAAGCTGTCCACAGGGCTGTAGGTGCCATAGCTCTGGCCTGACAGGGAGGTGGGGGACTGGGTCAGTGAGGGCCCCATGGAGGGGCCAGAAAGGGGGCTGAGAGCCGGGCCCCCCAACTGGGGCACCATGGGAGAAAGGTAGGGATCCAGGCCACTGAAGTAGGAGCTCGGCGACCCATACGCCGAGGGGGAGGAGCAGAAAGCAGAGGCGGGGGCGTAGGTCATGGCGTAGGGCGCCGACGACGTCAGAGAAGGGCCCGAGGCCACTAGCCCAGCCCGCTGTGCCTCGGGCAAAGGGGACTCTGAGGCCGGACTCCAAATGGACACCGTGGCCACTGCCGTGGTGGGGGAGCCTGAGGGCCCGGGTAGAGGGGGGCTGTAGGAATCTGAGATGCCCAGCGGGTCTGGACAGACATCCGTGGACGATCTTGGAGAGGTGCCTGCCTTCCTCTTGGCAGGACGAGCCTTGGCTTGTGCCCCTGGGGGCTGCTGTAGCTGTTTCTGTTGCTGCCGCTGCTGTCGACATTTAGCCCTGCGGTTCTTGAACCAAACCTGGGGGTGAGAGGGGAGGTCGGGGTGGGTGAGTGGGAAGGAGGCCCAGGGGAGCCTTCATGGTGCCCAGGAATGATGATGCTTATTGGTGAGACATGCCAGAGTTACAGCTCTCCACTTTGCAATCAGTCATGCGGCACTCTATTCATCCACCCATTCATCCATCCAATCATTCATACATACAGTTGTACACACACACACATACATACAACCATATGCACATACATACAATCATACCTACACACAGTTGTATGTATATACATACAGTCATACATACATAAACAGTCATCCATCCAACCATATGTACACACACACTATCATACGGCATACAAACATATACACATACCTTCATCCATCCATTCATCTAATCATTCACACATACATGCAGACATACAACCATACATACATCTAATCACATGCACATACATACAATCATGCATACATACAGTTGTGTGTATATACATACAATAATACATACATACATACTTTCATCTGTCCAATCCTATGTACAGATGTACACATACTATCATACAAACAAGCATATATACATTCATACATACATCGTACACACATACAATCATACAAACGCACATATATACATTCACCCATCCATCCATCCATCCATCCATCCATCCATCCATCCATCCCATTGGTTAATAAGCATGGATTAACCATCTTCTACTATTCTGGGGACACACAAGTGAAGCTGACATTCTAGTTGAGAGAGACAGGTTAAAAGTAAACAGGAAGTAGGGCTTCCCTGGTGGCGCAGTGGTTGAGAGTCCGCCTGCCGATGCAGGGGACATGGGTTCACGCCCCGGTCCGGGAAGATCCCATGTGCTGCGGGGTGGCTGGGCCCGTGAGCCATGGCCGCTGAGCCTGTGCGTCCGGAGCCTGTGCTCCGCAACGGGAGAGGCCACAGCAGTGAGAGGCCCGCATACCGCAAAAAAATAAATAAATAAACAGGAAGTAAGCAAATCACATAGTATTTAGAAAGTGATAAATACCATGAAAGAACCAGTTGATCAGGATAAAGGCGGGCAGCAGGGTGGGGTGGCAGGGGGAGGTTGTGGCTTCAAATTCCAAAGGGGGTGTAGGTCTCATTGACTAGCAAGGTGACTTGACTGATTGATAAAGACTTGAAAACGGTGATGGGGAATATACCTTCCAGGTAGAGGGAACAGAGAGTGCGAAGGTCCTGAGGCAGGAGTGTGCTTGGTGGGCATGCTAGAGGAAGGGCCAGGGGCCAGTGTTGCTGGAGTAGAGTGAGAAGGGGTAGGAGTGTAAGAGAAGACGCCAGCGAAATAATGGAGGCAAGGGATTACCAGGACACTTTATGACTTTGGCTGTTACTTTGCGACCTCTACCTCTTCCCTTCACTCTGGGTCCCAGGAAGGACCAGAGGAGTCCAGAGACCAGAACATCCCACCTGAACCCTGGACTCAGGCAGATTGATCTTCAGAGCCACCTCCTCACGGGCATACACGTCCGGGTACTGAGTCTTAGCAAACAGGGCCTCCAGCTCCTCCAACTGGCTTCGTGTGAAGGTGGTCCGTTCTCGCCGCTGCTTTCTCGGGGCGCCTGGTGTAGGGACAGGAAAACGGGACCTTCAGGTGACCTGAGATGTCATTCTCTTCATCTGCTGATGTGAGGTCCTGAGCGTACATGGGATGCCGAGAAGCCCCTTCTGGGTGTTCACCTGCCCAAACTAAGGGGGTGCCGATTCCCTGAACCTCTAGACTTCACTCTGTCCCCCTGGGAAATGGGGTCCCCCTTTGTCTGTCATTGGGGGGGCTCATGCTTCTCCCTGAGGAGAACTGGCTTTAGCCGTGTAAGGAGGTATATGAGTTTGATTTTCATCCCCTTTCTAAAATTTCTTCTGCACTAAGACATGCAGTTGAAACATGACATTTTGGATACACAGCCTATAAAAGTGGCAGGTCCATAATAGTCAACTTAATAAAGTTTTTAAAAAACACCTAAAGAATAATGCCACCAAAAACAGAGTGCTCCCTTCTTTGAGAAATAAAGCATTGCTAACAGGTGGGGATTCGTCTGGGTCCCCCTTCCAGATCGCTTCCCTCCTTCACCCCAGAGGGAACGACTATCCTCAATTTCTATGACTGTCCCTATGCTTGCCTGCATCCCTAAAAGATGTGGAGGGGTGTTTTGCATTTACAGGTGAACACATTTGGCTGGTGTATGGCCCTCATGTCACCCCTGTAAGTGCCCATCCTCCTCCTGAGGGCAAGGGACCCCAGAGGTCCCCAGAAGATGGAGGCCAGCTGGGGGTGGCAGGGAGAACTGTACTCACTTGGGTAGGACACAGCTTGGTGCATCAAATCCACACTAGGGCCACTCAGGGCCAAGGCGTTGACGGAATAGTGCGGCCCCGGGTTCATATACGCCATCATGATCCTCAAGGATACTGGGGCCCAGGTCAGTGGGCCTGCAAGAGAAGGGCGGGCACTCAAACACTCCCCAGTTCATCACCGCGTGGTTCATATCCTGCCTCAGTCTCTTCTTAGGTGCGTGACCTTGGGCAACTTGTCCCCCTCTCTGTGCCTCAGTTTCCCCACCTATAAAAGAGCCCTCTGCTTAAGGTCATCAAAGCTTCAGTGAGACTCTGTAAAGCAGAGAGCGAAAGCTGTAATGGGCATGTAAATGGAAGCTCTTATTCCTACTCTATCCTTTAAAAAATCTTCCTGCCACTCCCTTGTCTGAAATCTTTTTTCTTCTAGAACCACAAAAAAGATGTTCAGCCTCACGCAGAATCATGGTAAGTAGGGTGACCAGTTGTCCCTGTCTACCACGGATGGAAGGGTTTCTAGGGATGTGGAATTTCAGTGCCAAATCTGGGAGTCCCAGATAAATCGGGATAGATGGTCGCCCCAAGGGAGAGTCGCAGTCAAACGACAGTAAGCGATGATCCTCCACAACCGTTTTTGACCCATCAGCAAAGATCAAAGAGGCTTGGTACCCGCGCGCCTAGAGCCCGTGCTCTGCAACAAGAGAAGCCACGGCAACGAGAAGCCCGCGCACCGCAACGAAGAGTAGCCCCCGCTCGCCGTAACTAAAGAAAACCTGTGCGCAGTAACGAAGACCCAAAGCAGCCAAAAATAAATAAATAAAATATCATTTAAAAAAAAAAACAAAGAGGCTTGGTAACTCCAAGGCTGCCCTCAGAGTGGAGAAACAGGTTTCCCATGTCAGGGCGGTGGCAATGTGGATGGAACGAAGTGGAAACATTTATCAAAGAAAAATGCCATCTTTCCTTGGTGCCAGCAATTTGCCTTCAATGTGCCTCGGTCACCTCACCAGAAAATGGGAATCAGGGACTTCCCTGGTGGCACAGGGGTTAAGAATCCACCTGCCACTGCAGGGGACACAGGTTCGAGCCCTGGTCCGGGAAGATCCCACATGCCGCTAAGCAACTAAGCCCGTGCGCCACAACTACTGAGCCCGCGCTCTGGAGCCCTCGAGCCACAACTACTGAAGCCCGCGCACCTAGAGCCCATGCTCTTTAACAAGAGAAGCCACCGCAATGAAATCCCACATGCCACGACGAAGACCCAACACAGCCAAAAATAAATAAATAAAATAAATAAATTTACAAAAAAAGAAAATGGGAATGAAAATAGAACTTACACCTTTAGGCTGATGTGAGGGTCAAATGAATTAATGTGCATCAGACACTTAAAATAACACCTGACACGTAGTAAATGCTACAAAACTGTGGTCAGTTATTATTATTTGCAAGCAGATGTTTGCATAGACTTTACGCTAGGATTTTTCTTTTATTGGAGTATAGTTCATTTACGATGTTGTGTTAGTTTCTGGTGTACAGCAAAGTGATTCCGTTCTACATATATATATTATTTTTCATATTCTTTTCCATTATAGTTTATTACAAGATATTGAATATAGTTCCCTGTGCTATACAGTAGGTCCTTGTTTATCTCTTTTACATAGGGTGGTGTATATCTGTTAATGCCAAACTCCTAATTTATTCCTCCCCACCCAAGCTAGGACTTTTAATGCAGCATATTTATAATTGCTGAAATGTGGAAACAGCCTGTATGACCACCAAACGGGACATAGTAAGTAAATTATGTAAATCAAGTAAGTTATGTTAAGGTTATGGCACATCCTTGCAGGAGAATACTATGAAGTCATTTAAAAGGTATAAGGTTGTCCTCTGTGAATGGATTTGAAAAGACCTCTAGTATATAGTTAAGAAAGATTATCTTAAACTTGGCAATGAGACAAAAGGATGACAGCATGTCACTTCCTGGTTGTCCTGGAGCCTCATCTAGCAAGCCAACCCAAGCATTATTTCCTTTTCTAGGGGACTGTACCTTTGTTCAATTGATTGTTCACTATCAGTTAGGATCCAGACACTGACAAGGTAAATGGTAACTTCCAGAAGTTTGGTTGTCAATCATTTGTCTCTGGTAGAAAAGATAACCTCAGAGGTTAGTTTTGCTGCCCTGTAGGACTTGAACTAGCTTCATAGCTAAAGTGACCAACATTTTTTGGCATACCTTTCCTGAATAATGGTATTAACCTCTGTTCTTTGAATTCTCCTTTGAAACAGCCAGTTCCCTCATTCATGATTTAAATAAATCTTTGACCTGTGCTTATTACATGTGCCTAAGAGTCAGGTTTTTAATTTTTTATTACACTTTGGCAATAAGTATGTGTGTGTGTATGTGTATTAGATATCATATATTACCAAATTATATATAAATATATATTATATTCAAAGGAATATATCCTTTGAATATATATATATATATATATATATATATATATTCAAAGGAAAAAAACTGTGTATAGCATGCTACCATTTGTGATTTTTAAAAACAAGGCAGCAATATATACATATAAAATATATTTATATAAATGTATATCTGTATCTGCATAGAAAATTCCCAGGAAGGACACAATATGTAGTAAAAGTGGCTGCCTCTGGGGAGTTGTGTTATATCCATACCTTGTTTTTACAGTTTGGATTACTTTTTTTTTTTTTTAACATCTTTATTGGGGTATAATTGCTTTACAGTGGTGTGTTAGTTTCTGCTTTATAACAGAGTGAATCAGTTATACATATACATATGTTCCCATATCTCTTCCCTCTTTGTCTCCCTCCCTCCCACCCTCCCTATCCCACCCCTCCAGACAGCCACAAAGAACCGAGCCGGTTTCCCTGTGCCATGCGGCTGCTTCCCACTGGCTATCTACCTTATGGATTACTTTTTAACCATGAGTGAGTATGTTACCTTTTCAACGACGAAACCAAGAATACCATCTATTTAGAAGAGAAAGAGAGAATTCCCTGGTGGTCCAGTGGGTAGACTCCATGCTCCCAATGCAGGGGGCTCGGGTTCCATCCTTGGTCGGGGAACTAGATGGCATATGCATGCCACAACTAAGAAGTCCGCATGCCGCAACTAAGAGATCCCGCGTGCCACAGCTAAGACCCGGCACAGCCAAAATAAATAAATAATAAGTAAATAAATATGAAAAGTTCTCCTTTAAAAAATAAATAAATAAATAAAAGGGAGAGAAAGAACCTTTCCAGGGCTCCCTATCGCCCTAGTTAAGATGGCCTCAGGAGACCTCTTGGCCTGCTCTGGAAACTTCCAATAAGCTGTTCCAGGCCAGGAATGTCTCCTCTACCCCCAGTCCAAAGACGCCTCTCACCAGCTAACTCACCCCTTCTCCTCTAGGCCACAACTCAAACATAACTTCCCAGGAAAGCCACACACACCACACACACACACACACACACACACACACACACACACACACACACACACACTTTCTTTCTCCTGTTCCTCAGGAATCACACCTGTTAAATATGCCATATTTATGAGTTTACCCCTCTCACCCAATCCTGTCAGCTACCTGAGAGCAGAGACTAGGAATGTTTCACTCCCTGTGGTGTCCCCAGTGCCCCCCAATAAATACCTGAAAAATAAAAAAATGCTTAAAAAATGGATGACATTTATTTGAGCTCCCACCCCTTCCTTCTCTCACTGCCCTGTCCTTCTCAACCCTCCCTTGGTAGGGAGAGTTCTATTTATCATAAATTGAAGTTCTGCTGTCCATTCAGTAAATATTTTTGAGAGTTCTAGGCACTAGGGATACAGCAAGAAATAAGACACAGAGCATCTCTGTTCTCATGAGATTGAACTTCGAGTTCCTGGTCAGGGAAACAAACAGTGAACAAGGAAAAAGATTTTTTTTAGAGAATCAAAATGCTTTCGGAAAATTTCAAGAACTCCGAGAAAAATTAAATGCGGTAACAGGAGAGTGACAAGGTTTGGGGTGAGGGTGAGGCATCTAATTTAGGTGAATGATCAGGGGAAGACGTCTCTCTAAGAAGGCGACTTTGGAGCTGCAAAGTGAAGGACTCCGATTCAGCCGCGGGAGGACCTCGGGGTAGAGGTCTCCAGGCAGAGGGAACAGCAGGTGCAAAGTTCTGGAGGCTGGAATCACTTTGTCTTATGGAGGTGAATCAAGATGTCCAGTGTTACTGGAGCAGAGTGACCAGGGCAGAAAGTGGACTAAGATTATGTAGGACCTGATAGGAAAGTCACGGGGATGCTCAGTGCCGATAATAACCATAAAAGTAAAAACCACCACATAAATCCTAAGAATCAAGTGGTGTCCTAGGTAGCGGCTGGTATCTACACCCTAAAGTTATCTCCTTCCACGGAGCAGGGCTACGCGTGCAACCAACAGGATATTGTGGAAATGACAGTGTGACTTCTGAGGCTGGCCCTCTCTCTCTAGGAAATCGAGCTGCCATGCTGAGGATGCTTGAGCAGTCCTATCTATGGAGAGGTCTGTGTGGCAAGATCTGAGGCCTCCTGCCAACAGCCATGGGAATGAAGCCCCAGTGAAGCTGATTCTCCAGCCTCAGCCGAGTCTTCAAATGACTGCAGCCCCGAATGAAATCTGACTACAACAGCACGAGACACCCTGAGCCAGAATCATCCAGCAACACCATTCCTGGATTCCTGTGACCTCAGAAACTATACAACATCATAAATATTTATTGTTTTAAGCTGCTAAGTTTGGGGCTAACTTGTTACACAGCCACAGATAACTAATACAACACTTCCCAGTGCAGGATGGCATTGAGTCCTCAGCACAACCTTGGGAGGGAGAGACTGTATTACTAATATGTTCACATTTTACAGGTAAGAACATCTTCAGTCTCAAGTGCTATGACCTGCCCAGGGTCACTCACAGGCTGTGAGTGGGGACCCAGGAGTCCAACCCTGGGGACCTCCTGGAGGCCCTGCTCTCCCACCCCCCAGTCTGAGTCCCCTCTGTCCTCTTCCTCTTCTCCAAGGAGTGACGATTTTTCACTGGAGCCTCCGGAGAGAGTGGAAACAGGGAGGCTGGTGAATTTGCCCTCTAGGGACAATTTGCAGGGCTTGGAACAAGAGCCTCCACTTCCACTGAATCTGTCTCTATCACAGAATCTACACGGAGTTACCTGGCTAAGGGGTTGGTCTTCCAGGAAAGTCTAGATCTCTCTCACTGGGCTGATCCCATCCGACAGGCAGAAGATCTAAGCCTCAGGGGGAGGTGGGTGCTCAACCAAAATCAAGCAGCTGATAATGATAAGGACCTCCAAGACTGAGGGTTTGCCCACTCCTCAGATCATCAAATAAGGAAGGGCGGGACCTCCCTGGTGGCACGTGGTTAAGAATCCACCTGCCAATGCAGGGGACACTGGTTCGAGCCCTGGTCCAGGAAGATCCCACATGCCGCGGAGCGGCTGGGCCCATGAGCCATGGCCGCTGAGCCTGTGCGTCCGGAGCCTGTGCTCCGCAACGGGGGAGGCCACACAGTGAGAGGCCCGCGTACTGCAAAAAAAAAAAAAAAAAAAAAAAAAAAAAAAGAATGATAACAACAAAAATGATATTGGATGTCCACCAAAGCCTTTCTCTGGGTTAGGCAACAGGATGAGGTTTCCAGAACTTCTCTCCTCTGAACAGCTTTGTGTGTCAACATCCAGGAGCACAGGCAGCAACTACAATGTCTGTCTTTCATTGGCAATTTACAGTGAGCCAGACAGCAACCCTTTTTCATCCTGCCGGGTGAATTTCAAGGCAATGATGTTTCATAATCCCAAATGGTGGAGCCAGGGAAATCACCATCCCTGCCCTGGGAACCAACTAGTGGGGCCCTAGGCTGGTGCTTGGGCTCCTGGGTTCA